CGCAGCTCTTCTCTTTCTTTGGTAGCTGCTGCGCGGTGACAACCGGAGGGCTCCAGTTAGGGTTGGGGTTAGGTGTCAGTCCCATTGGGGGCGTGTCCTGCACCTTAGGCATAGTGCTGTAGCCAGTACTAGTGTTCGGGCGGGGTGGTTCTGGGCTCTTTGACGGCCGAGGCGGTAGCTCTTCGAGCTGTAGAGTCTCAACTGGTTGCTGTTCTGGCTCTGGCTCTGGCTCGACCTTGCTGGTCACAGACGGCGCGTCGAATGGGTGCACTGCGAGGGGTGCGAAGTTGCGGTCGTATGTGTTCGGTGTCCGGCCTTCCTTCTCCCACTGTTCCTGCATAATCTTTTTGGCAACGGTGGGAATCATCTGCTGGTCTGGTGGAAGGCGAGGATCGGGCTTGTACATGGTTGCCAACCACGGCGGGTCTCCTTCGGGCCGGTTAGTGGCTGTTGGAGGACGGTTTTCACCTGACCGGGTGGTAGGGCGCTGTATGTTGTTACTGGAGACAGCACGAGATCGAGGAGCGCTCGCCTTCCGGTTCGTGGGTGGAGCCGAGGTCTTTCGGCTAGTAGAGCCAGTGCTTTTGACTGTCTTCTTGCCCGAGGTGTTTTGTTGTATACTGTTGAATCCGCGGCTGCCCGGTCGGCTTTCTGGAGAAGGGGTTGAACCATCTTGCTCAACGTTGATAGGCTCGCTGGCTCTGCGGCTCCGTGAAGACCGGTCTTCTTCGTCTGTTGCGGCACGGCTCCGTGAACTGCGAGAATCGCGGCCCATGGCGCCGGATATGGGGACTGGACTAATTGTAGAGACGGGTATACGGGAGGCGCTCTTTCCAAGGCTTGGGTGGCTGTAGATGCTGGCGGCTGCATCGTCGGCGGCAATCTCCTCTGGTCGGCGGAGATCCCAGTGTTCCCGCTCATGGTCATCTACATTGCCATTCACATCCCGCTTGCCGAGTTCTTCCCGCACTTTCGGCCAGGGTTCGGAGTATTCTGTAGCGGGTGAGTTCGCGGTACCAGTCCCGTTAGCAGAGCTCTGCTGTGGATCATGGCTCCTCCCACGTCCTGCACTCGATTTGCTTTCTCCTCTCATCCGTCGCTGAAAGAGAATGGCTGCCTGGTGGAGCTCCTCACTCTCGATCTTTGCCAGTTTGTCTCGGTGGATCCATTTTTCCTGGTTCGTCTTTCCATCATCAAGGCCGTCATTGTCCTCCTCGGGCTCTTTACGACCGGCTGCCTCGCTACCAAAAGCATCTCGCATACTGCCTACTTCACTCCCACGTCGATTGAGACTGTGATCCCTCCGTCCTCGGTTTGAGGCTAAATAGGGTGGTTCATATGCATGGACATTGCGCGAGACCGAGGAGCTGCGTGAACCGTTTGAGGTACGCTGTCGAGAAAATTTTGCGCGGACGGAATTGGAGTCGTATGAGGTGCGTTGTTTCAATGAGTGGCTTTCCTGCGGGGGAAAAGGGGATCAGCGCTCTTTTTTTTCCCTCCACGTTCTTGAGCTGCCAGGTGAGAGACTGGAATGCCACACGGAATCATCTTACCTCGGGGCCAAGTGGCACCGCAAATTCCCATTGCGAGCCATCCACGGGCGATGCTAAGGCATCTGCAGAATATGCCGTAGCGACGCCCGCCATTCCAGTTATTGTTCACAAATGAAAAAGGCCAGTCCAGCTGTAACCCGGTTCAATAGGTAGAGGTGTAGAGAGTGGTTCGGATCAAGACATTCCAGGTAGAGTCGGGAAGTGGAGTGCAAGGGGGGTTTACACCGAAAGCAGCAAATTGTCAACAGAGAGACCCTTAGGGTTGACCACTGCAGGGGGGATATTTTTCCCAGTTTGTCAAGTTTGGTCCGACTAATTAAGAGCTGGCGGGGGGCTGGGCCCGTGGAAGGCTTTCCTCGAGGTCTCGGGGATTGAGACAAGGAGAGTGTACCAATATGGTTAAGGGGGTGAAATGAATGAGAGAATCTTGAAAATAGAGAAGAGAAAATAGAAAATAGAAGAGAGAATGTCAAGATAGGGAAAAAAAGAGGGAGAATCTAAGGAGAGGTGTCGTCGCCAGACTAGGAATAGCACTAGAAATAGCCTAAACCAAGTCCGACACTCTACGGAGTAGAGTACAGAGTACATGGGTCTACTATACGAAGTACTCCCTGTTATTTATTAATGCATATTCCCAAACATGCATCATATGTCCATCTTATTACATATTAATCAATAATTCGAAATCTTCAATAGACCAAAATTTCTGAAAATTTCTGAGGATTCTCGCAACTTAGTCCTGGGCCGTGCTTTGCCCCTGAACCATGTTGATCACCTCGAGATGCCGCTAAATTGATCTAGACAGTAACGGCGAAAATACGGAGTATTCCTTCGAACTTCCCCCACTTAGTGTATACCTACATGAAACAATGGGAGAGACATAAGAGGAGAAAAGAAAAAAAGGGTTTGTATACATGCCGGCAAATACTCTTTGGGGAAATCGCAAAGTTGATATATCACAAATACGCCAATGTCCTCCATGCAAAGAAACACCCCGAGCCAGTGGACAGGTCCCAGCAAAATGGAAACTTGACCAGTAAAACAGCCACTCGGAATGGGATTGATACATGTTGTACATGTCTACGTATGCCTGTAACCCGATTTCAAATCCCCCAATATACACAGCGAGATGGGGAGCCGAGTAGGCAACTGGTGAGCTATGTTACAGCTATGCAATTTTATCCAGCTCGCTGAGCACCGCCTGGGTATCCTTGATGAGGGCGCGACGTGCACTGCGCGCAACCTCATCACCATTTGGCTCGATTCCATCTGCCTTCAGCTGGATTTGTGCGAGGATCGTCTCGCTCAGTTTCTTATGTTCATAGTCTCGCTTCTTTGGGTCACTAGGTGGGTTCGCAATGTATTCCTCGCAAAGCGGCTTCATCTCCTGCTCGAACCATCCGGCCAAAGCAGTGACCTGCTCCAGCGGGGTATGCAGCAACTTGAGGTTAGGCGGCGGTGCAGGGGGTGCCTGAGTGGCCTGACGATGTAGGCCGTGGTGGCCGAGATGGAGCAGGGGCTTCTGTGCTGACGGGCGACTTCTTGCCATTGCGTTTCTTCTTTCTCGAGCTCTTGCTCTTTCCACTCAAGGATGTGGGAGGAGACGATGCATCTCCTGCACTAGTAGGTCGGGGCAGTGGCGGCGGTGCTGGCGCCGATGCAATTACAGGAATGTTGTGCCCGTCGTCGGAGGCATCGCTCGGGGAGCCCGCTCCCGCTTCGGAGACCACGCATAGCACCTCGGAGTGCTGCTTGAGCCCCTCGGCTTTGCATGTACGCGCGTTGTTCTTGAGTAGCTTGCCCTTGTACAGCAGTCTCACGCAGTTCGGGTCGCCGGCTCCGGTGCTCTCAGCGGCGGCCTCTCGTAGGTCTCCGATGGTCAAGACACCGTCGTCGATCGCGTATGCGCGGAAGCGCAATGGGTAGATGGTGCCACGGTGGCGGAGGGAAATAATATCCGGGTCGGTATCACCTCCTTGTGAGTCTGCGATATCTGAAGGTGTGATATAACTAAAGTCCTCATCGCTAACATGCGGGTTGGAGGCGGGAGCATAACTTGGCGAGCGGCGCAGCATTTTTAAGGGGTTGCGCCAACTCATCACGACGATGGTGAACAGGCAGACTGCAACAGCTGCAAAAAGGGCGATAGGCTGATTATCTGGGGTAAATGGTAACTTTTGCGCGAGAGGACCGAGGGGCGTGTTGGACAGGTAGGTGAGAATAGGGTCCAGTTGGTGGCGGAGGGAATGTAGGTGAACAGGGAGGATGTCAGCGACCTGGTCTATGTATACTGCGCACTTCTCGCCCAATGTGGACTGAGCGAGGGTTGGGGGCAGTAAAGTCATGGATCTCTGTGGAGGGGAAAAGAGAGCAGGTGGATGGTGAAGTCATGCCCCCAAGTCGTCCGGAATAGGCAGATAAGGCGGAGAGTACTTTTTTTGCCATCGAATTGAGCAATTATTGGTGTACTCCCAACAATGGTTCGTCTGCCTAGTGGAGTGTCTGATTTCAAGTCGATTCTTTTGGTGTTGGAGTTACGGCGATATTTGGAATGGTTGGGATAAGTCGACGGATGCCTTGTGTACCTCAAGGCTGCCTGGAAGTGTGGCGATACTTGAGGCCTGAGGCAGACCTATCACATCTAGATTACTTGTCATTCTACGATCCTACATTTGGTGACATATTTTCCAACCATGGCATGATTCTGGGTGGTCAAGCTTTCTCTGATATATCATCAAGGTAGCTCCTTATTCGTTGTAATATTGAGGCTCTTTTGTGATGTTGAGTAACCCAATTTGACCTCGATCGGCGTATGTATGTGCAAAATCGCGGGGTCATACAGCTCCCCGCCTCTTTTGGTGTATATCGGCTGGGTAAGATATCAATATAGTGGCTATTCAACCATCTTAATATGCAAATTTCTAAGAGCAGAGCTCCAAGGTAACTAGTTCATAATTACATATATGTCCTAAGGGGTCCTAAAGAGTACATGTAACGTATCTAAGCGCCAAGACCTTCTTCCACCTTGCTTATCAATTCCATAGTAAAGTGGACCTTCTAGGGCTCCAACCTTGGAAGGTTGGAAGCGCGCCGATGGCTTACCAGGTGGGTATATATATCCATATCTGCTCGAGTTGCCTGGTGGACCACTCAGACCAACTGTAAAATTATAGAATGTACAGGAATTAATGGTACTATAGATCAGAGCGGCTAATGGATGAGCTAGGCCACAAATAAATGAATAAATTTGAGCGTGCCCTGAGGTCCGTTGTTGAGCCCCTGCTTGACAGGGTTCAGAGCATGTCGTTTTCCTGCTTTGTGAGAGACAAACTTATCACCTGGACTTTCTTTCTCAGTCTGCGACGATACAATGTGGGTTCACTCTTGGATAATATCCTCTCGGTTACACTGCCAGGGGTGAAAGCTCTCTTTGAAAAGGACAAGTAAATGGTTGAAGATCTACTCGCTCTCCCTTTGCTGCGTTATGTCGACAAACGCATGGTCACTTACTGTCACTTGGTGCCTGGCGATTTTCCGGACCAAGAGTATGAGTATGACCGTTACGTGGGATTCTCTGGTCAGGGGTGAGTCCGACGAATCGGACATGAAAACAGTATCGAAACTGGTGTTCGAAGTCTTCATTATGATAGAACGCGCATATCCGGTACTTTAGGCCGATTCGTGCTGCTCGCTGTTTTTGGCTCAGGTGTGGATGCTGCCGATGCCCAGCTCGCGGAAGGACAGTTTTTTGATTTTGTTTGACACCTTCCAGTGGCGTGGGTATGTATGCCCAAGTAGCACACTGAGTACTTTTGAGCTGGCCGAAGGAATTCGAGATCCCACGCTGGAGAATACAGGGTGGAAAGGATTAAATTCATGCTGGTCTCTCAAGCTGGGAATACCTGGAACAAAGCTTCGACAAGCGTCGGAGTGCAGCAATGTTCCCTGTGACAAAAACGGTTTATCGTCGGCACACGTTGGAGAAAGTGGAAAGTCACCCAATCACGATGACTCGGCATTTCCTGCTCCAGGAAGATGACTCCTTTGCTGGGTTCATTTGCTCCTACTGCCACGGTTACCGCAACCGGGACTGTGAACATAGTTTGCCTGATGTGGAGTATGTGGCAAACGCTGGAGCCCAGCAAAAGCGACGCAAGGACAAGAAGGCTGGGGTCTAGGTAGAATGTGGACGCTGTCACGCTCCACGGGATCTAAATGCGCCTGATTACACGTGGTTGGATGAATTCCGGATGATCTGGTGTAGAGTTTGTCGGGCTTCGAAATATGCCACAGGCGAGCGGCGATCTCTTGAAGCAAAGAGGCGCCAGGAGAATGAGGGCATTCTTGTATAAGCTGTTGGGACGTGCCAGAATGGTAATTGTCCTATGACCGAGGATATCAACCGGCTCAAATATGGCAAGCCACTTTTGTACTGGCAACAGGTTGGCTTACAGTGCGGGGAATGTTATGCCTACCTAGTCAGGTATGGTAAAGATCGAACCAGCCCCGAAAACTTCGCCCCGACGCCGGATGAGCTTGCAAGGCTTCAGGAAAGGCCGCCGCGTATTTGTATTAGATGCCACGCCGTGTGGAGATTTCCAGGAGTCTCGAAGACCTGGCATAGGTCAGAAGGGAGTAACAATTGCCGGTCATGTTACAGGGTGCCAAGCGGTCATGGCCCACGGCTGCAGCGGCAACAGGAAACACAAGCAGAAGCCGATATTCTGAGGAAACTAGGTCGCGAGGTTATATGTCCATGTAGAACAAAGGAGGGAAAAGATGGCACCGAAAAGTTCAAGGTCCACAGGCTCTTATTGGTGCCACTTTGTTGCAAATGCAGGGAGAAGAATTCACGGGCTGCAAAGGTCTCAGAGGATGGAAAATAGTGGGACCTCTATATGTCATTCATTATCAAGTGGTTGAAGCTTTGGCAGACATGGGTTCTCAGAGAGAAAAAGACTAGACCGTCTTTGTTCCTGTTAACGAAAAGAGTCCCTTAGGAGTCCTTTACATTGTAGTTTGACGCAACCCCTAAGCTTTGCAAATAAATATATATTTATGTAAGGAAGATGATATTCCGAGATTCCAGCGCTAACGGGCGCCCAGGATAAGTAGCCTAGATGGCAAAAAGATCATGTCCAAGGAGAATATCATTCATCAATATCATCATCTCCCTTCCTTTTTCAACCTTATCACCAATACCGTCTTTCTCGGTGTCAAAACGCCTAGGAATAGCCTCACTTTCACAAGAATAATTCTTTTGCTGGTGGGATCCCCATCCTCGGATATCTTCAACCAAGAGATCTTTAGGTATAAAGAGACACAGCATAAAAAACATTAAATATGATTCTGGCCCCTTCCTTGCGGCCGATATTCTTGTAAAGATAGAGAGGTCGCAACCCGCAGGTTCACAATTAGTGGGCAGGGAACAAAAAGAAAATGTGCCCTCGTCCAGGATCGAACTGGAGACCTTCGGATGTCAATCTTGTTACCAAGAGTGTCATATTAAAGGATATGAGACCGACGTCATGACCAAACTAGACCACGAAGGCAACCACTAAGCCACTCGTGCTTGTGATGACATAACTGAGCGCTAATGCCTAAGTGTTGTTCATCACTCTATAACCAGACAATGAAAGACGGCTGAATATTTTGTAGGTCTCCGCCGAGCTTTGTAAAGTTTACATGTTGGACAGAGTTCATAACTTAATGAAATTTAAATCCAGTACGTTTTCAATTTATCAACTATCAAACTAGATTGAACAAAACGGTATGATTTTATAGTAAGGCGACAACTAGGGTGTTGAGACTGATAGGCCGTCACTGTGCTTATCTCTAACTAGATAGAGGGTTAGAAAATCCAGATTATCCAGATATCATGTCTGTATAAGCGTGCCACATAAAAAACAACCTAAATTTTTGGAAATTGTGCACTAGGAAAAATTGTGCGTTGTGCAACAGACCCAATGTCGCGATTTGTTAGGTTGAACAACACATTTTTATATTCTAACTGGGGGGGCAAAAAAGAATGCCCTCGTCCAGGATCGAACTGGAGACCTTCGGATGTCAATCTTGTTACCAAGAATGTCATATTAAAGGATATGAGACCGACGTCATGACCAAACTAGACCACGAAGGCAACCACTGAGCCACTTGGACCCGTTTTGATTTTCTGTGAATTTAATGACTATATGAACCAAAATACTTGTAAGCAACCCTACAAAGCTATTCTGTAATGGATAAAATGGGAGTACTTCAATTTTTTAATTGAATTTTTACCAATTAAACTGGTCATCTTAATACTATCCACTAAGGTATGTTATGATCAAAAGAATCATGGATTGATTATCTATTGGTGTACCATCTCGACGGGATGTCTTTGTGAAGTGTCAGTAGCATCATATACTTTTTGGGGGGCTTTATCTACAACAAACGCGGCGTAATCCGCCAAGGTTAAACTCATAAGGCTGTGAGTTCCCGTCCGTTGGCTGTAGGAAGTTTCCCTCGCTGTATGTATATACCAGTAAAAGTATCGCCTTGAGCTAACAGACCAGTATATATGTCTTGGATATCAGCGCTAGATATAACAAACAACTCATATAGTCTACTAGGGGGCTATTCGAGACGGTTACTAACTGTATATAGTTAAGATGTATTGATAAATAATATCTTATATATCTGACTTTAATATCGTTGTCGAGATATAAACTCTAAACGACAACCAATCAAGGTAGATTTGGCATGACCGATTCGATACCAGAAGACCGCCCTTTCGACCAAAAGAGCTAATATACAATGAGAAATCGTAGTTTGATTCCCAGGTAGCCTAGGATGTCATCGTTGCCGAGCTTATACCCCGTACTTATAGTTGCATATCTATGCCTCAATGATAAATAGTAAACCGCCACACTACGTATCCGATGCTCACCTATACAGGACCAACGATATGCGATCCCAATGCACATATAACTAGTGATTTCATACCCAATTCTATAGGCTCATTTATTTGTTACATTTAGAATCAAAGTAAATATACTTCACACGTTTTATTTTCCCATTCCATACTACCAGCCAGACAGCTATACCAGACAAATCCCTACAACTTACCATCGTGCGTCCCCCTTAATGCTCTGCAATAATTATCGATCACTATGGATATTATAGAGCAAATATTGGAATCAGCACCGGGCCTGGAAGGATACGTTAGAAGGGACTTAGAATTACTAGCCTACAACCCCACCATTGCCAGCTTAATCAGAACATGGCTATCCATTACTTCACTGCTATTCCCCCCACCTCTTGAGTCTGATGAAAACCCAAGTTAATTCGTCATAATTAATATGTATTTGGAGGTTCAATGCTAAACCCTAAATTGATTTCATATATATGTTGCTTCTTCTGCAACGTGTCACTTCTACATTTCCTGCATGCTAAGGAACCTAGGACTCATACGGACGGAATCGAGATTAGCGTCGTTGATGTAGTCTGACACCTCTGCCAACTATTCTACCATACGAATTCGAGGATACTGAAATCTTGACTCAAGATTACAATTCGGACTAACTCCCATGCATCACCGCCTTCATATACGAACCATGAGAGTATGGGAGAATACAGCGCTTAGGAATGATACTGCTCATTGCCTACGATTCTTTCTTGTTCCCATCACAGAAAGCAGTTGTCATGGAAAGACATGGATAATTCTACAGGGAGGAAAAAGGAAAGGTACAGATATGGCTTCATTTCTATGTATAGAGAGATTAGACATTCTTACAATTTATTTTTGACAACTTTGTGAAAGATTCACTTCGTTATTCATGCTGCTTAACTAGTAGGACTTATAGTCTATTATTCAACAAAATCACCCTATACATATAGCCACGAGGAATAGTTTCCTTGACACCGTATTAGTTTAGGTCTTTACCATTATAGACCAGAAAAATATAGCTCTGCCTTGGGAATCTTACATTTTCGTACAGATCCAGTCACACCCGAGGTATAAATCTAGAGTATATAAGTCCTTAATTATTACGATGGTATATAGAATAAATTTGAACGGGCAAATCAATAATCCTTTATATATGTTGGGTGCAGGGGCTTCCAGACGATATTATATATTTGTGGAGAGATACCTAGGAGATGTATAACGTAGGACCCGACCTATACCTCGCCGCGGTGTCTAGGAAAAATAGGTAGCGGATGGAAAAACCAAGCCAGTAGAACATAGTCATGTTGTGTATTAGTCTATATGGGTATGGCTTAGTATGATAAAACAGGTGGTTTTATGAATTTTACAACTCTGAGGTGGAAGGGGTCGGCAGCAAATGGTGAGAAAATCCAAAAAAAGAAATGCCCTCGTCCAGGATCGAACTGGAGACCTTCGGATGTCAATCTTGTTACCAAGAATGTCATATTAAAGGATATGAGACCGACGTCATGACCAAACTAGACCACGAAGGCAACCACTGAACCATTTCGGTTTGTGATACAAATTCCTGTTGGATATAAATATATGATCCATTTATTATATTGGCTCCTGCTATGTGCTTACCCAACTACCCATGCTGAGGGTTGGTGCGCCCCACTATATACACATTTTTCACTGGATAACCAGTTTTTAATTTATCCAACTATGCAAGTACGTAGGAATTATAGGTAACCAACATGACTATCTATGTACCAATTTCTACCGTTACCATCTTTTGCCGCCATTAAAGCTGTGTGGTCAGCCTGTATTGAATCCTTTGCTTCTTGGGCCTGTTGATGAGCCTCCAATTTCTTGGCATGATTTGCCTATAACAGCTTCAACTTCCTAGAAACGGCTTCCTATTTTTTTGGGTTATTTGAAGCTATGTTGCAGGGTTGATATTTCCTTGAAGCCTCTTTGACTAGATCAACGGCGGGGAGCACCAACACCAAGCAATGGCGTTGGGTACCTGCATCATCATAAAAAATAGTACATAGTTTGGGTATGTTTGCGGCCTTGTGGTATGTTTTTAGTTGTTCTTTTTTGATATCCCTTTATGTGTATACGAAGGCGGTAAAATAAGCATAATTTGCGCAAGAGACTTTCCTATGTATAATTAAAATCGAGCTATTTGGTACTACAGACTAAGCTAAGGAGATCGATCAAACCATGATGAGTCATTACTGGCGCCCTTTGCGATGGATAGATATG